GTGGGGCGCGGCCGGGGGCCCCGTCCCCCCCAGCCTGCAGCTGGCGGATGTGCTGATCCAGGAGAGCCGTGAGGTGTGCGGAGCCGCGCTGGAGCAGGGAGGACGTCTGGGAGGGCAGGAGGGCCAGGGCACCCACCGTCTGCCCCTGGGTGGCCTCCAGCGAGGGCAGCTTGGCAAAGTTCTCCACTCCCTGCCTGCTCAGGATGGCGTTGTCGATGCAGGCGCCTGGAAGAGAGGTGCAGAGCTGAGGACAAGAGCTGGGGTGCCGATGCCAGAGCCCGTTCGTCTTCTACGGGCACACAAGGAAAGACTTGCTCCTGCAGGAAGGACTCCCACCCCTTGCCATCCATCCCCTCATTTTAATGGACATGATCGCAATCCTGCAGACGCAGCCCCATTAGCGTGGACCCTGCTGGAGAAAGCAGCTCTCCCCAGAGCCAGAGGGGCACCTGAACCCAGCGCCAGCAGATGGGGACACAGGGAAGGCTCTCACCCAGGAGGTTGACCTGCGGAACTCCCTTCAGCACCCGCAGCATCTCCTTCACCTTCGTTTCTGGGCTCACCAGCAGGATATTGCGTGCAACAAAGAGAGGGAGGAGATTCTTGTACTTGGACTGCGACAGCACGGGTCTGACAATCTGGGGGAGACAACTCTCAAAATGCAGCTTTTCACCCCAACAGGCACCACGTGGCCATCCCAGCTCTCACCCGCCTTATCCCCCCCAACCACACCAGGATCTGCCCCGGCAGCTCTTCCCCTACCTCGTTCAGGACGAACTTGACCTCAATGTTGTGCTTTCGAAGGTAGTGCCTCATCAGCACCACATCCTCACCGGGCATGGAGTTGTACTGACAGACAGCAATCATCCGATTGTTCCGGAACACCTCCTCCACCTGCCGCCGCAACAGCCGGGCGTAGCCATTGTCCTGAAGGGAGCGAGCAGCGATGGGCCGGAGAGAAAGGGCACTGTCTGCCACTTCCTCCCACTCTGACCCTGCAAATGGACCTACTGCCATGATGCTGTCACAGATCATGAGATGCTGCCACAGATCATGAGACCTGGTTTCCAGCACTTGGATTACCATCTGTGGCATCTCCCAGCCACCCATAACGTGATGAAAAGGGGCAGTAATCACCCTGGAAAACTTTTGTACTGCTATCCAGCCACGCTAACGCCAGTGCAGGGCTGTCCCAGAGCTCTGTATCACACCCGGTGGGGGCTGTGAACCCTCGTGTTAAATCCCCGGAACAAAGCACACAGACAGGGCCTGCAAAGCCACTCGGTCTCCTCGAACACTGAGGCCCCACAATGGCCCCAGGCCAGAAAATTACCTCCTCAGCCTTTTCCCTCCTGGGGACCACGCAGCGCGGCGGGATAGCCGGCCGAGGGGCCAGGTATTCGGTCACGGCCATCAGCTTCTGCCGCTGGAAGTGCAT